ACGAGCCGCGCATGCACCATCTTCCACTGCGCCTCGGTCATTTTGCCGGCTTCATCCCTTCTGTCAATGAGGGCCACGATCAGGTGTCGTTTGGTCACCTCACTGACTTTTACGGTTTTTTTGGGCTTTTTCGCCATTTGAGGAGGGCCTGCCTCCTTAGGCCCGCGTTGCCGCTTGCTCCCCGGTGCGTCCATAGAGGCGCTTTCGGTTGAGCGTTGCCTTTTGTTGGCAAGCGTCTCCTCCACCTTGTTGGCGAATCCGCGAGTCGAACTCATGTGCGGAGTTTGTAAAGTAAAGCCTCCCCTCAGCGATTTTCTCCTCAGCCCAGGTAAGCTTTGCCTTCTCCTCTGGGGAGATCCTGGATGCGGAGGGCAGCCTTGTACATCGCCTTGGCCTTCATTCCCTCGCTTGACCGCTTTGGCCCGTCCCTGCGCTGGGAGCTGGTGCCTGGTTTCGGTGAGTGGAGAAGCTGCACGCTCTCAAGGTCTGTATCGACTATGGCACGTGAGCGGCTCAACTTCCCCTGCGAAGTTTTTTCGGCAGTAGCGTTGCAACTGACATGACCTGCTCCCGTCACATCAGAGGTGTAACCGCTGGCGACACGCAGAGAGGATTGCTCCCCCCCGTGCCCGCCGGTGGTAGCGGTCCCAGTCCATCCCAGTCCTGGTTTCTTTCTTTAAACCCTCCAGAATGGTTTCTTTTTCAGGGGTACCACCCACTTGCGTTTTATGCCTTCCGCCAGGCACCTCCACCCATGGCTAACGGCTCAATTCCTTAGGCTTTTTAGGGCAGACACTGTATTATCGCGGACGGGGCAAGCAGCAATGCATTACCCCTGTCCGGGCTAATACAGTGCCCATTGCCCAGCCGGCACCCTCGGGGAGGGTTCAGATGGAGGATTTTTGCAAAAAAAAGGTGAAAAAATTGACACCTGGCAGGTAGCGATTTACCTGTACAAGCCCAAACCAAAGTGCCGTTTTTTAGGTTCTTTAATAGTTTATGAATGTATCTATCATTTAAAGAAAAAACCATAACCATTGCTTTTATGGTTTTTGTGTTATATTACCTGAAAGTCGACCAATTTACCCTTTTTCTTGGTATGATGAAAAAAACGAAAGAAAATTCAACTTTGAATTCTGACGAGAAGATCGCTGAGGGGAGGCCTCACTTCGCCAAACTCCCCCACATGAGATCGACTGGCGGATTCGCCAACAATTTGGAGAAGACGCTTGCCAACCAAACGCAACGCTCAGCCGAAAGCGCCTCTATGGACGCACCGGGGAGATAGCGTCAACGCGGCTCTAAGGAGGCAGGCCCTCCCAAATGGCGAATAAGCTAAAAAAAAAACGCAAAAGTCGGTGAGGTGACCAAACGACGATGCTGGAAGATGCTACATTTGCGGCTCGTTGAGTCATTGTACGCACGGATGGAGAAAGATACCGAAACTCCCATGCCCACCTTCGATAGCGCTGGGTGGCTAAATGGGGTCAAAATCGCTGCGCTGTTGGAGGGAGCCAAGCTAGAGGTGGTGAACCCGAAGCTACTCCCATCCACTCCAAAAGCGAAGGTACTCTTCCCCGTCGCAATCCAAGCGGACCGGGAGCTAAAGCTCCCGCGGACTAGAAGGTTCTGCACGTTGCGACCCCATAACCCAAGGGGGGTGTCCTCCAGATAAACAAGGAGGTAGAGGACATCCTCTATCCGAGATACGGGAAGATGGCGTGGGGCGTGGCCGCAAAATGCGCCATTCAGGGGATAATGCTGTTCACACCATGAAGGCAGGCGTGGTGGAGAAGGACCTAGGTCTGGAAACCATCGTGGATGCCGCCCAGGGAATGACGCTGGATGAGCCCGACGAAGGAGAGGACGGTGACCTGACCGTAGTAGTCAACCAGTCGTATGGAGGTGCCCCAGTACCCATGACATTTACAGTGCTGCAGCTCAACCTCCATAAGAGCAAGGTCGCGTCGGCGGAACTCCTCATAGCCATGGAGCAAGGATCCGCCGACATAGCTTTGGTCCAGGAGCCATGGATCGCCTCAGGCAATACCATCGCCGGACTGAAGTCCGCAAATTACAATTTGCTCCCTCCACCAACGGTAAGCAGGAATAGAACCGCCGTACTTGTACGGAAGGGTCTACACGTTAACCTTATGTCTCATTACAGCTAACCGTGGTGATGCTAGAGAGCGGAAAAAAACGCCTTTTGGTAGCTTCCTGCTACATGACACACGAAAGGACGGCCCCACCAGAAGAACTTATGAGCCTGGTAGAAGCCAGCCCAAAAGACCAGCAACTGCTCGTGGGTGCAGACGCCAACGCGCACCACTGCGTATGGGGAAACCCCGACATAAACGACAGAGGTGAGTCACTCTTAGACTTTATACTCTTAGCCAACACACCTTTGTAGGTCCCACCTCCTCAAACGTGTAAGGGGACAAGGTACTTTGGTATCAGAAGGGAGAGTCCCTGAGAGACCATCCTTCTCAAATCATAAGTACATACGACTCTAATACGCATTCGAACACTCTCCAAAACAATCAGTCTTCAGGAACCCCCAGAATACTAACTGGGGAAAGTTCGAGGAGACTATCGCTACACGGCTCGCGATCTCTTCGGGCATGGTAGAATGGTAGAAAACATAGAAAAGTCCCTAGAGACCCTCTCCCTATATCGGACACGAGGAAGAGGACCATGCCACCCTGGTAGAAAAAGGACCTTTCACTCCGAGGCAACAAACTCAAAGAGTTCTTTAAAATCGCCACACAGGCGCAACATGATATCATCAATGAGGAAAACAAAGTCCTACTTAGGGACTACAAGAAGGAAATACGCAAGGCGCAGAGAAACTCATGGAGAAACTTCTGTTCCAATATAGAGACTTCCCCGAAAACGGCTAGACTTCGGTCTCTGCTATCGAAGCAGCCAACCATACAGAGTCAGCTCAAACCCGACGACGGACAGTGAACTGAGATCAGCGAAGAGGCCCAAACAGTACTAATGCATTTCCTAGTATGCACTGAGGTACCCGATGCGAAAAAGCACCAGGACCTAGCCATTGGAGAAGAGCATCTCCCAAAAGATCTAATATCCTCTAGTAGAATCAACTGGGCTGTAGACTCCTTTGCGAGGATAAAAGCACCAGGACTAGATGGAAAATTCCCAGCCATTCTGCAGGTGACTAAGGAAGTGATCACCTCATGGCTCTACGCAATGTTTGAGCACGAGCTATATTCCTATCCAATGGAGGACCTCTCGGATTGTCTTCCTGCCCAAAGTTGGAAAGTGCAGCCACGTTAACCCCAAGGATTACAGACCGATAAGCCTCACCCCATTCCTACTTAAAACGCTGGAAAAGCTGCTGGACCTATACATCAGGAACGATGTAGGCAGACTACTGTCGACCAACCAGCACGCCTACACGAAGGGGAAAATCAGCGGGGACGGCACTACATTCGTTGGTAGCCACCATTGAGAGAGCCCTAAACAATAAGGAATATGCACTTGGAGTGTTCGTGGACATATCCGGGGCATTCAACAATTTTAGCACGGACGCAATAATGGATCGCCTAGAAGCGACCAACGCGTCCCCCGCTTTAAACTTGTGGATAAGAAATCTTCTAAGTTGCCGGCGGATACAATCAGATTGGGGCACCGCTTCTATGGTGAGAGGAGCGCACAGAGGCACACCGCAAGGTTCTGTCGCTCCTCCTAAGGAATCTGGTGGTATACGACCTAATCAAGAGATTCGAGAGGAAAGCACTAAAGTTAACAGCTTATGCGGATGACATCAGCATAATTATCACGGGAGTCTGTCCATCGACCATCAGCTCGATTATGGAAACAACGCTCAGGGAGAAATGTTAGTGGGCGGAGAAGGTAGGACTTAATATCAACGCGGATAAGACGGACCTTATTCGCGAGATACAAGGTGCCGCAATGGATCCCCCCAAAATTTACAAAACCAGGCTGACCCCTGGACCATGCTCAATACCTCCAAGATGGATGAAGGAGTTGGAGCTGGCATATACTGTTCAGACCCTGAAATGAGGCTGTCGTATAAGCTACTAAGCCACTGCAGTATATTCCAGGCGGAAGTATTCGCCATCAGGAAAGCAGCAGAGCTTGCGCAGAGCATAATCCGCCCACATGAAGCGGTCAATTTGTTCGGCGATAAGATCCATGCAATCATCTGCGGTCAGTTCCAAAAATGTACTGGAAATCAGAAAGTCATTAGACAGCCTGAGAACTACGGGTTCCTAGCCACCAAGGCATAGACGGTAACGAGACCGCAAGGGAAGGCGTCGAACTGGCGAAAAAGCAGAAAACTTTCTTGTCTCCATAAGAACGCTCCAAAACGATCTGGAGAGACGGGCTGACGCAAGCGCAAAAAGCAGGTGGAGGAGTAATTCCGCAACCTGCAGAATATCAAAAATCATGTGCAAAGAGCACAAAGAGAAACTCACTCACTTCGTGCTATAGTACCACATAACACAAAAACATACATAATTTTGAAACTTTGAACTTCTATATACCTTCATGAATATTTTCCATACTGTGAGGAGTCGTATGACTCAACGACAACAACGGCAGCCAGCAGCAACAACAAAGGCAGCTAACGCCAACAACTACGGCAGCCAGCAGCAACAACAACGGCAGCTAACGCCAACAACAACGGCAGCCGGCAGCAATAACAACAGCAGCCAGCGGCAATAACAACATCAGCCAACGGCAACAACAATAGCAGCTAGCAGCAAAACAAAACCGAAACAAATCGGCGTCGGCAAAGAACCGGAACAAAAACAAAACCCTCGCGAATAATTTTGTAAAATTGGTATATCTTTTGAATATTTCCTTAATATGTAAGCTTAAGCACTAATTGTAAGATTTCTGGTACTATTTCTAAATAATAATTATCCTAGCTTAAGCCTAAGCGATAGTCTTTGTTTATCTTTCACCCACCGTTCTCGCATCACCAGCCGCCACACACACACACACACCAGCGCAGGATCCGGGAACGATTTGGCCCCGTAAGGTGTTTCAGGTGCCTCGAACCTGGGCATATTGCGATCCACTGCAAGGGCCCTGTGGACAGAAGCGGATGCTGCATAAACTGTGGCGGGCCGGGACACAAGGCTGCTTCGTGCAGCAAGGAGCCGTCATGCTTCATGTGCTCTGCGGCTGGAAGAAAGGAGACGAGGCACAAGGCAGGAGGCAGGGGATGTCCAGCCTCAAATAGTGGGAACACGAATCCTAAGCCTGCATGAAGTTGATTCAACTCAATCTGAATCACTGCAGGGCTGCGCAGGATCTCCTGTCGCAGACGGTACGGGAGCTTGGCTCGGAGGTCGCAGTCCTGAGCGAACCCTACAGAGTTGGTAGCAGCCGCGACTGGGCCACTGACCGCTCTGGCAAGGCGGTCCTGTGGCTCTGCGGAGCGGATGCGCCGGAGCTGCGCGACACCAAAGCAGCGGAAGGATTCGTCCGAGCGAACATTGGCGGCATTTGGCTGTACAGCTGCTACTTGGCACCCAGTCTCTCACTGGAGGCGTTCGGCAGGATTCTGGACGAGCTGAGCAGCGATCTGCGTGGACGGAGCAACGTTGTGGTTGGCGGCGACTTCAACGCCTGGGCCATGGAGTGGGGGTCCTCCCCGACCAACGCCAGAGTCCGAGCGGAGCTGGAGACTTTCGCCTCCCTGGACGTAGTCCTTCTGAATGAAGGCTAAAGGCAGTCCTTTAGCATGGCAGGGGTGGGCTCGGTAATTGACCTCACCTTCGCCAGTAGTGCGCTTTGGAGCCCGCTGGAGGATCAGCGATGCCTACCGCTCACCGCACAAGAGGGCCCCTACTCCCAGATAGGAAGGCGTTCAGGCAAGACACCTTCAGGCCGCGGGCATTTGCAAGCGCCCTTGAAGGCTTCACGGCATGTGAGGACGTTGGAGCCGACGAAATGGCCAACAAACTAGCGGCTGCGGTTGATGGCGCGTGCAACCAAAGCATGCTACTGAGGAAGCCGTTTAGGAAGCATCACTCCCCGGAGTTCTGGTGGAGCGAGGAGATCGCTGACCTTCGCCGCAAATGCCTCCGAAGCAGAAGGCTGCTGCAGCGAGCTAGAGGCACCTCGCGCCTTCCTGTGTGCAACGACCGATACAAGGTGGCAAGGAAGGAGCTGAAGACTGCCATCAGGAACAGTAAACGCGAGTGCTTCCTCAAGCTGTGCGACGCCGCCGATGAGGATCCTTGGGGAGGAGCCTACAAAATGGTGGTGAAAAGGCTCAATGCGGGCGGCAGTGCCCCAACTCACCCGGCGACTCTGGAGAGCATAGTCGGCACGTTGTTTCCTAACGGACGGCAGGTCGCGATCTGCCCCAGTACCGAGTTGGGCATCCGCTGGGTTTCGGAAGCTGAGGTTCTACAGGCCGGCAGGAGCCTCAAGCTTAAGAAGGCGCCGGGGCCGGACGCCATTCCGAGCAGAACAACCAAGCTTTCTCTATCGCTGCTGTCGTCCGAGGTGGCCTGCTTGTTCAACAAGTGCCTCCTGGAGGGGACGTTCCCCGACAGATGGAAAAGGCAGCGGCTTTTGCTGCTGCCCAAGCCAGGCAAGCCACCAGGTGAGGCATCGTCTTATAGGCCAATCTGTCTGCTGGACACGATTGGCAAGGTCTTCGAGAGAGTGATCTCAACTCGGTTGGGCGAAGCCATCGAAGCCGCTGGTGGTCTCTCCCCTGAACAATACGGATTCACGAAGGGACGGTCTACGCTGGACGCCATTGAGAGGGTCGTCAAGATCGCGGAGGATGCCATTGCAGAAACCAGATGGAAAGGTGGATCCAAATCCTATTGCCCCGTCACCCTCGACATCAGGAATGCCTTCAATTCTGCAGACTGGAGCCGAACGCTAGAGTCCCTGAGGAAATTCAACATTCCGGGGTACCTACTGAATGTAGCGCTCAGCTACTTCAGCAACAGAGTTCTCACGTTGGACACGAGCAGAGAGTATAATATCTCAGCCGGAGTCCCTCAAGGCTCCGTCCTGGGACCTCTTCTCTGCAACGCCATGTATGACGGCGTACTGAGGCTTCCGATGCCTGCCTGCACCAGCCTGGTTGGCTTTGCGGACGACGTCGCTATCGTCGTGGCAGCGAAGGAGATAGCTTCCGTGGAGGCGCGAGCGGACACGGCCATCCAAGCCGTAGAGGCGTGGCTGGCTCTCGCGGGGCTAGAGTTGGCGGCTCACAAGACGGAAGCTGTCCTCATCTCGAGCCGGAAAGCAGTGGAGACGGCCAGCGTTCTTGTTGGAGGGACGAGGATCCGGTCGCAGCGGGCGATAAAATACCTGGGCGTCCTCATCGACACTCGACTATCCTTTAAGGAGCACCTGGGGTACGTCCACAAAAAGGCAAGCGGGACGGTAGGAGCGCTCTCCAGAATGCTGCCGAACACGAGAGGGCCGAAGCAATGTTCGAGGAAACTGCTATCGTCAGTTGTGACCGCGCAGATCTTGTACGCGGCATTAGTATGGGACTTCTCTTCGAAGGGCTGTTGGACGCACAGGCTGATCCCAGACCTAGCGCTATGGGTAGAGAGGGCGCATGGGCAGGTGAGCTTTCACCTTAGCCAGGTGCTTAGCGGCCACGGATGCTTCCGCCAGTACTTGAAGCACTTTGGCCATGAGACGGAAGACTGGTGCCTGGAGTGCGGCTCTGGCATAGTGGAGGACGCGCACCACGTTCTCTTCGAGTGCCGCAGGTTCGTCCTCGGGAGACATGAACTGGAGGAAGCAGCGGGATCATCGATTACACCGAGTACCGCACGGCGTGAGCTCTTATTCCCTCGCACCTTTCTTCGTCTTGTTGTTGGAGCATTATTGTTATTATTATTAATACTATTATATTAGGGAATAAATAAATATTTTGAATACAAAAAAAAAACACCAGCGCAGCGATGGCAAACTTACCACGAAAAAGTGGTCACATGACCCAATGCCGCTTAAGTGCGAGCGAGAGGGAACATACGATCGAGCAAAGAACAACCCCGAAAATAGGCACGCGCCAAAGGAAAGAGCGAGAGCCTAGGAGTACCGAAACTTCTAAAAGCGAAAAAGGAAGTTGCAAAACGTACAAAGGCACGTGCCATTTTTTTTACTCTGGCGGGCGTGACAAAGTTGAATAGACTTGCGAACGGAAGAATATTTAACTTCGAGACCGAGTTTTGCGAATTTAAAACGTGCGAAAAGTTGTGAACAAAACCCAAGGCGAATCGAGTGATCTAACCCGAGACCGACAGGCGGTTTTCGACGAGGAAGTGCCAAGTGACCAAGGAAACCACCAGGAAGGACTCGCTGCAGCCCACCAGTGGCCAAAGCGAAACCCAGCCTTCGACGCGCGAATTTTCAGCCACAAAATTTCAGCGCCAATTTTCAGCCACCGGCTGCCAACCTTGGAGGAGATCAACCAGGCGATCTCGAGGAGTGTGTCCCGGCCCAGGACCAGCTGCGGAGCACCAGGAAATCACGCGTGTGTGTGTGCGTGAGAGCGAGACGGGTGAGTGTTTAGAGTAAACCGTATTTTGGCCAGCGAGAATCACGTGCGATGAGAAATTTCTCGACGGCAAAGCCCGTGAAGAGAAAAAACACACACAGGCAAATATGCAGAACAGAGAGAAAGAGAGAGCGAGAGAGAGCTACCCTCTGGGTAGCCAATTCGGGTCGCGAGAGTCTCAAAAGCACGAGGTAGGGAAAAGCTAACGAAAACTCCCCACAGCGCAGCCATTTTGTTTTCGCACTTCACTCTCATCGTCGTCTCTCTCACACCAGCAAGCGTCAAGGAGTACAGTCAACGGGATCACATCGTTTTTCTCTCTTCTCATACAACCGTCGTCGAGTCTCTAAAACATCGTCGTGAAAATTTAGAAGTTTAAGGGGGGGGGTAAGGTATTTAATTTTTTTTTCGAAAATTTTTTTTTATTTTTTATTTTTTAAGTTCAACATCTTAAGAATATTGTGTCCAATTTTTACATCGATCAGAGTAAAATTGACGAAGTTATGCGGAGTTGAACGAAGGTCGGTTGGTGTTCAAAGTTTAAAGCGCTCTCCTGAAAAATTCAATTTTTCAAATCGGTGTACACGATTACAGAAAAACTACTGGACCGATCGATTTGAAATCGATTCTTTAACTAATTCCTCAGGTATTCACGTCGGCCTTTTTGTTATTTTTAATTTTTATATATTTTTAAATTAAGAAATAACGTTTTTTTTTAGTCAAAAATCGGGTTTTTGACTTTCAAATTTCCTAAAAAATCACAAAAAAACTAAAAAAAAAAAAGCTTCCTGAATACCTCGGGACACTTATCCTTTAACAAATGAGGTATAATTTTTTTAGATCGGATGATCCTGTGGACTGTTAGGATGTACACCGCAAAACAACTTTTTTTGGAGGCGACTCGGGAGATTCCCTATAACTTCTCTACCTCTAAATATTTTTCAATTCAAAATTTATCAAAAATTATTCAAATGTTGTGTTATCATATGGTATTTAATTCATTAAGCTAACTTTAGCCGTTCCGCCACAATAATTTTTTGAAAAGTGGCCTTTTTGGCACCGAATTAACCTTACCCCAATCCCCCCCCCCTTAAATCACCGTCGAACCAAATCAAATCACCGTTGAACAAAGTTAAAATCGCCGTTGAACAATATTTAATCACCGTCGTGGAAAATTTAAACTACATCGTCGTCAAATTCGTGAATTAAAACGCCGTTTGACATCGAATTTTGTGGTCACCCTAGTTGCACGAGGGCAGTTTAAAAACTTTCTGTGGCAAATAAAATTTGATTCTGAACATTTTTGGTGGCAAATAAAAGGAAATTTTCGCTAAAGATTTTTATCAATTCGACCCTCGTTTGACCCATGATAGAATTATACAAGGTAGTCCCGTCGAAAAAAAAATAAGCCCTAGTTCGGCTTATCAAAGTGTGTGTGAGACGTATAGCCTGAAAGTTTGAATGAAATAACTCAATGAATAAGCACGAGCTGTCAAAATAAGCCCTAAAACCTGAACGATTTGGACCCGACGGGACTACCTTGTATAATTCTATCATGGTTTGACCCGTTTAAAAATTTTCTCGTCTTATCGGAGATTTCCCCTTGTTCGCCAATTAACTATTATTTC